TGAAATCATTGAGTATTCAGTCTTTTGTGTCTTTTTAAAAAATTCAGCACAATGACATTAAAATTCATCTGTGATGTTGTATATATCAGTTGTGCATATCTTTTTTGGAGTAGTATTCCATTGTATGGATATTCCACATTTTGTTTATCTATTCATCAGTTGATGAACATTCTTTCCCGTTTTGGGGGTATTATGAATAATGGGACTATAAATACCCTCATACAAGTCTTTGTGTGGATGTTTCTATTATATTCTCTGGTGAATATCTAGCAGTGGAATAAGTAGACAATACAGTAAGTGCATATTTAACTTTTTAAGACATTGCCAAACTAATTTCTAAAATGATATCATTCTGTATTCCCATCAGCAATGTATCAGAATTCCAGAGGTTCAACATCCTTGCTAGCACTTAGTATTGTCAGGCTTCTTAATTTTAGCCATCCTAGTGGGTATATGGTGCTTTTTCATTGTGGTTTTATTTGCATTTCCCCAATAACAATGATGTTGAGTATCTTTTCAAGGGCTTTTTTGCTGTTATATATTTTCTTTCATGAATCAGCTATTTGGATCTTCTGCCTATTTTATTATTGTCTTGTTGGTGCACTTTATATATTCTGGATGCATGTGAATTTTAAAATCAGATTGTCCATCTCAACAAAGTGTCAGTTGAGATTTTGACTGGGATCACATTGTATCTGTAGATCAATTATGGGATAATTTACATGTTTAAATATTGAGTTTTCAGTTCCATGAACATGGGCTATTCTCCATGTATTTGGGCTTTTTTGAATTATTGTCAGCAATTTAAAAAATAATTTCACACATTTTGCTAAATCTATCTCTTCATGTTACATTATATAATGGTATATAGTATATATTATGTTTTTAATGCTTTTATAAATGGCTTTTTAAACAATCTTAGCCTTTTAAATAGAATTTTTAGATCGTCCATTTAAGGGCATAATAAATATGTCTGGATTTAAATCCACCATATTGCTATTCATTTTTGTTTATTCTATCTGTCCATTGTATCCTTATCCTATTTATGCTGCATTTTCTTGAATTAATTGAATTTTTAATAAGTTCATTTTTAATCTCCTTTATTGGTTTATTAGCTATATTACTTGTATTTATTTGTATTTTCACTAGTTGCTCGATCATTTATAATGTACAACTTTAATTTATCAGTCTATCTGCAAATAATACTATACTAGTATAAGAACCACAATTTACTATCCAAGCCTTCTCCTGGAAACTACAAACCTTAAATAATCTCCAGAATTCTAAAACATCTACCATCTACCTGACAGATTCTGCCAGTTCAATTATTATCTAGGTGGGGGAAGAATTCTTGGTGCTTCCTACTCTGCCATCCTCCTGTGACTTACTGACCATTGTTTCTCAAAATATTTTTTTCTGTCCCTATCTCTCCCCCATATCCTC